GAAGGCAGTCGCTTAACCAACTGAGCCACCCAGGCGCCCTCCTTAGTAATATTCTATCTGATGATGATATGGAGACACTACCTCACTTTGGCCCTGAAACACCATAACCACAGAGCAGATAAAATTTCACAAGCATTCATTTGCATCTACAACCTATTTTTTTTTAAAGATTTATTTATTTATTTATTTATTTGACAGAGAGACACAGCGAGAGAGGGAACACGAGCAGAGGGAGTGGAAGAGGGAGAAGCAGGCCTCCCACCGAGCAGGGAGCCTGATGCGGGGCTCGATCCCAGTGGGATCATGACCTGAGCCGAAGGCAGACACTTAACGACTGAGCCACCCAGGCGCCCCTACAACTTATTTTGATAGCCCATAGAGGAGTAAGTAATTTCTGATACTTGGGTAATAACTGGAATGTTCTACTTTCAGAATGCCTAATTAATTAAAGAGTTGTGAGACGTCATTTCCAAATACTGAAAACATACATTATCATGAAATTCATATGATCTCTACTTTGTCAAAGAACACTTCTTATGCAGGTATTACTACCTTACTCAAGAAGACAGAGTAGAACACACTTGGTTTAGTATAAGCTGCCGGGTGTGTATGGGTAAATCCAGGATCGTCACTCTGCCCAACACCCAGGGGTGCTTTTGCATCTCAGGTTGTAAAAATGATGACTCTTGCAGCTGTGTTTCAAATCATGTTCATAGTCATACGCTTTATCCCTGGGTGTATTTCATAGTGAAGGATATGCCCTGTGAAGACTCCTCAACCTCTGGTGGATTCTCAGCCACGAGAATTTGGAAACCTTTGTCAGTTAATCAAGTAGTGAAAGTGCTTTTATTTGGCCATTCTTTAGCCAAAAGAACTTGGTGGTTTCTTTCAAATTCACCTATTAATGCTATGTCATATAGCTTTATTTTCACCCACCATAAAGACTCAACTTAAATATCACTATGGCCTGAGGTCAATTAAAACACCTTTGGTCTACTAACTGGCTGAGTCCAGTCCATTCTCTGACTTTTTTTTTTTAAAGATTTTATTTATTTATTTGACAGAGACAGTGAGAGAGGGAACACAAGCAGGGGGAGTGGGAGAGGGAGAAGCAGGCTTCCTGCAGAGCAGGGAGCCCAATGCGGGGCTCGATCCCAGGACCCTGAGATCATGACCCGAGCCGAAGGCAGACGCTTAACAACTGAGCCACCCAGGCACCCCACATTCTCTGATTTTTGGCAATTTTTAGGGAAAAGGATAATTTTAATCCATATTTATTATTTGATTGACACAGTAACTAACAAACCAGACAAGAGGTTTAAAAATACAGCGTAGTCAGTAATATTATATTTAATAATTATAACTAACAAACTAGACAAGAAGTTTAAAAATATAGTGCAGTTAGTTGAATTGCCTTATTCAACTACTTTAAATGTATGAAAAAATCATTATGAAAATATACCAAAGGTGCAAAGAAATTTTCAAAAACTCTTTCATAATTAGTATTTAGTCTATCACTGCTTTGCATAAAACCATTACATGTAGAAGTTTAAAAAAAGGAAAGTTTTACAGATTCTCTTATGTGATTATAATAAAAGATAAGGGTGGTTCTTTTTTTAATTCAATTCCCAATATCTATGACAGATGTCATCTCAACAAATTAAAATTAATGAAGGGTTATGTAACATCTTGGACCAACAATATTATTAGTACTACTCAAAATAGAAAATCAAGCAACTGGGGGCGCCTGAGTGGCTCAGTCAGTTAAGCATCCGCCTTCAGCTCATGTCATGATTGCAGGGTTCTGGGATGGAGCTAGCGTTGGGCTCCCTGCTGGGTGGAGAGCCTGCTTCTCCCTCTCCCTCCGCCCCTCCCCCCCCACTCGTGCTCTCTCACTCTCTCTCGCTCTCACCCTATCTCAAATAAATAAATAAAATCTTAAAAAAAAAAAACAAGCAACTGTCTGATCCATATCAGTGATTTTTCTCTAATCCACATTATACTAGATTCCATTCTAAGTCTACTTAAAAACATCAGATGTGTTTTTATTGGTAGAATATTGGGGGTTTTATTGAGAATGTACTACTACTAGACATTTCTCTGGGCAATGGGGATTTATACAGTGATAAATGTAACAGACAAGCACTTGTCCTATTAGAGTTCACATTCTAGTCTTATCACAGATTGTCACACATGTAACATTTGACTTTTGACTATAAATGTAAAAGTTTGTTGAAATAATAGTTATGTTTCATTGTGAATAAATGCATGTAATCATGTTTGAGTTAAAAGGACCCTAGACATTTAGGTCGAACTCCAATGAATGAAAGTGAAATCTTACTCCAGCCTCTGTGTGCCACTTGCAGCAATCGGGAATTCATCCGTTTTCCAGGGTTCAATATTCCTCTCTGGGTTGACTCTCCTGCCACCTCATTCTTCTCTGTGTTGAGTCAAAGTCTTCCTCTCAGTAACTTCAACCTGCTTACCCTGGTTCTGCTCTCTAAAGAGATAAATGAAATACATCAAATTCTTCTCCTAAATAAGACTTAATTATTTTGACAACTCACCGTGTCCCTCATTGTTCAGGTTTTTTTTTGAAATCTACTTCTTAAAAGGCAAAAGTTAACTCTCTGATAATTTTTAATGCGTAAAAGGTTTTTTAAAAAAGCACCACAGCACCATCTCTTGTTGCAATATGTCACTGCAACTTCCTAAATAGGTCTTTAACACCTGCACCCGTGATCTGGAGCCAAAGGGCATATGATTTCCTCTCTTAGAATGTGTAATGGGCATATGGATGTTCAATGTAAAATTCTTTATATCCCTTTGTATATTTGAAACATTTACTAGTTTAAAAAACAGCATGGCTAGGACATAGCAGTGTTACATAAATGAGCACACAATGAAGCTTGGAGGATAAGCAGGGGCTAAACTTGAGGTCTCATGGGTTGTGCCAAGTTTTAGTGATTTTCTCCTCCGCAAGTACCATCAACATTGATTTAAGCCTATCAATTACCAAGAATTCTAAATAACAGAATCCAAATTTGTAAGTTTATTACTATCTGCATTGCTATTTTCTTTTTATGACTGTTCTCCAGCATTTCAGCAGATAGCAGACACAAGTAAATGTTTACTCAAAGTAGTTAATTGGGTGCCTTCATAAGATTACTTCAAAAGAGAGTAGAAAACAAATTTTTAATTGGAAACAGTGATAACACATTTATAAATACTTAAATATCAAAATGATTTAAAGAGAAAATGAAATGAAAATAATTTTATGCACTCTAAAAAGAAAATGTGGTAATACACAAATGTATTTAATATACCTTTGCCATTTAGATGTCTTTCTCTATTACATATGGAATTTGTGTATTGAAGACTAGAAGTTTGGAATAATAAAAGACTGCATTCACACTTAGTAACTTTTTATTTAACCATAACAGGTTTCCAGCATAAATTTGCATGAAAATTGTACTAAGAACTCAATAAAAGAGAGACTCTCTACATTAAATGGTCAGGTCTAATAAATGGTAATATTAAATCTAAGTGTTGTTTTAGGGGTAAAATTCATTATCATTATGATAGTTGAACCAGTCATTAAGTAAGTCTTGTTTTAAAAGTGGTTATTTTGGTAGTTGTTATATGTTGGCAATCATTGGCCATGAAATCACTTAATTACTAATAACAGATATAGGTTCTGGGGTGGGGTGATGATAGTGGATGTTAGGATTTAATTTGCAGGCACCTAACTACAGTTGCATAGAAGAGGTCATTATGAATTTGTCATTTTTGTCAAGTGGGAGTGATGGTGTGACTTACTGGATTTACTACCAACACAGGCAGAACTGGTTCAGATGAATAAGTAATGGATGACTTTGAATAACATGTCCAAAGAAATTATAGTGCTTATAGATTCAGGTGATAGGACACTGAAGGGTTTGATGAAGTTCTGTCGGTTGTATTAGTACATAGAGTAGAAATGGAACTGCAGAAATGATGGTGCACAGGGATGGTATTGGACTGTAGGACTGACTGATGCAGGGCTCTCTATCATGAAATTTCAGTAGAAGATGTGGTGCTGGCATGTTTTATGAATGTAATGCTATTATTGTGGCTAAGGACTTATTTGAAGGGGTGGGGGGCCTGCTAACTGTATCATGAGAGTAGATGACTTAAAATTTGTGGTTGCGCTTTCCATTAACAGGTAATGTCGATTTTGGAATTATATATTCAGCTAAAGTCATTATGGTGTTGTGATTGGGAAGTCAGCTGAGTTGGTAGCATGTGTATTTATGCCATTTATACTTGGGGTGGTGGCAGTGGAGGTTGAAGATAGTATTTTAGTTGAGTCAGAAGACAGACTAGATTTAGTCACTGAAGTGGAGGTAGCTATGACAAATAATGTAAATTCAGTTGAGGAGCAGAGCATAGTGTCTAGAGATCTAGAACATGAACTGATGGTGATTATTAAATTGATACAATGTTATCTGTCAACATATTTCACTTTTTTATTATGTTAAGTTAGCCACCATACAGTACATCATTAGTTTGTTCAATGATTCATTAGTTGTGTATATTTCAATAAAAAAGAACTTGTTCAGGGGAAGCAGTACTGGCTGTTGTGCTCGCAGCCTCCGTGGAAGTACTCCTCATCATTGTAGTTGCAGTTCAGTTGAAGTGGGGGCAATTCCTGTGGTTGTGGGTTCAGGAGACTGGTATAAATTGTAATGGTGACTGTAGTGGTTGTAGGTTCATTAGAACCTGTTGTAATTGTAGCATCAGTGGTCATACTGGCAAGTGTCACAGTAGTCACAGTAGTTGGTTAAGATGAAATGGTGGCTGCTGTGGTGGTTCTAGGTTCAGGAGAAGTAGTAGTGGTGGCTGTGGTGGCTGTAGCCTCAGTGGTAGTGCTGGCAGTTGTTGTGTTAGTCAGTTAAGATGAAGTGGTGGCTCTGTGGTGGTTATAGGTCTCATAGAAGCACTAGTGGTGGCCATGGTAGTTGTAGGTTCAGGAGAGGTTGTCATGGTGGCCATGGTGGCTGTAGCCTCAGTCAGTGGTAGCACTAGCAGTAGTTCTGGGGGTCTGTTCAGATGCTGTGGTGGCTGCTATGGGAGTTCTAGGTTTGGTAGAGACAATGTTTGTGTCTGTGGTGGTGGTTGGTTCAGTAGAAGTTACCCTGGTGGCTGTGGTGGCTGTAGGTTCCAAAGAAGTGGTAGTGGTGGCCCTGCTGGTTGTAGGTTTGGTGGAAGTTGTACTGGTGGCCATGGTGGTTATAGGTTCAGGAGAAGTTGTAAGTGGTGGTCATGATGGTTGTAGTGTCAGCGGTAGTGCTGGCAGTGGTTGTGGCAGTAGGTTCAGATGACGTGGTGACTGAAGTGCTGGTTGTAGGTTCAGTAGAAATGATACTGGTGACCCTGCTGGGTGTAAGTTCAGTAGAAGTTATAGTGGTGGCTGCGGTGGCTGTGGTGGTTTTTGGTTGGTGGAAGTTATGCTGGTGTCTGCAGTAGTTGTAGCCTCAGTGGTAGTGCTGGCAGTTATTGTGGTGGTTGGTTCAGATGCTGTTGTGGTGGCAAATTCGGTAGAGAAAATAGTGGTGGCTGTGATGGTTGTAGGTTCAGCAGAAGTTGTAGTAGTGGCTTTAGTGGTTATAGCCTCAGTGGTAGTGCTGGAAGTTATTATGGTAGTCAGTTCTGATGAAGTGGTGGCTGTAGTGGTTGTTGTAGGTTCAGATGAAGTGGTGGCCATGGTGGTTGTAGGTTCAATGGAGGTTGGAGTGGTGGCCAAGGTGGCTATAGATTTGGTAGAAGTGATAGTGGTGGCCCTGGTGGTTGCAGGTTTGGTAGAAGTTGTAGCGGTGGCCATGGTGGTTGTACCTTCAGTAGAAGTTATAGTGGTGGCTGTGGGGGTTGTAGGTTCAGTAGAAGTTGTAGTTGTATCTGTAGTGGTTGTAGCCTCATTGGTAGTGCTGGCAATTATTGTGGTAGTGGGTTCTGATGTTGTGGTGGTGGCTGTGGTGGTTATAGGTTCAGTAGAAACAATAGTGGTGGTTGTGGTGGTTGTAGGTTCGGTAGAGGTTGTAATGGTGGCCACTGTGGTGGTAGGTTCTGTAGAAGCTGTAGTAGTGACCATGGTGGTTTTAGGTTCAGTAGAAGTTACAGTGGTGGCCGCAGTGGTTTTAAGTTCCATAGAAGTTTTAGTGGTATCTGTGGTGGTTGTAGACTCAGGGGTAGTGCTAGCAGTTATTGTGGTGGTCGGTTCAGACGCTGTGGTGGCTGCTGTTGTGGTGGTAAGTTTGGTAGAAACAGAAGTGGTGGCCATGGTGGTTGTAGGTTCAACAGAAGTTATAGTGGTGTCTGTGGTGCTTGTAGCCTCATTGGTAGTGCTGGCAGTTACTGTGGTGGTCAGTTCAGATGCTGAGGCAGCTGCTGTGGTAGCTATAGGTTCAGTAGAGACAAGAGTGGTGGCCATTGTGGTTGCGGGTTTGCTAGAAGTTGTAGTCATGGCCATGGTGGTTGTAGGTTCGGTAGAGGTTGTAATGGTGGCCACTGTGGTTGTAGGTTCCATAGAAGTTGTAGTAGTGACCATGGTAGTTTTAGGTTCAGTAGAAGTTACAGTGGTGGCCACAGTGGTTATAAGTTCCACAGAAGTTATAGTGGTATCTGTGGTGGTTGTAGACTCAGCAGTAGTGCCAGCAATTGTTGTGAGAGTTGGTACTGATGATGTGGTGACTGCTGTGGTGGTTGTAGGTTCGATTGAGAGAGTATTGGTGGCTGTGGTGGTTGTAGGTTCTGTAGAGGGAGCAGTGGTGCCCATGGTGGTTGTAGCCTCAGTGGTTGTGCTGGCAATCTTTGTGGTAGGGAGTTCAAGTGAATTGGTGACTGTTGCTGTGGTTGTAGGTTCAGCAGAAGCAACAGTAGTGGCTATTGTGGTTTTCACCTCAGTGGTATTGCTGGGAGTCATTGTGGTATTTGGTTTAGTCGAAGTGTTTGTTCCTGCTATTGTTTTATGTTCAGTAGAAGTGGTAGAAGTTGTAGTGGTGGCTGCTGCTATTATAGTGTCAGCAGAAGCAGTAGTTTTTGTACTAGTTGGTTCTGTTGAAGTGCTAGCAGTGGTTGTAGTGATGGTAGTGGAATCAGATGTTGCGGTAGAATGTGTTACAGTAATAGGTACTGTCGTTTCAGAACTAGTAGATGAAGTTGTCCCGTGGTTTTGAGGGAGCTGAATAGTAATGGAGGCATTATTATTTTTCCTATTATACACCAGACACTCTATGAGTACTCCGATGGTTGTTGTTAGTGCACAGGCTAAGAGACAAGCCAGGAAGATTCTCCAAAGAGACCAGTCACTGAAGAAATTTCGTGTCACCTGGAAAGGATTTAAATAAGATTACTGCAAATGAAACCAAATGTCTCAAGCAAAACTAATGCCTTCAGTAATTCTTTTTATATATAGATCACTTCATTTAAAGGATGTATAAACGTAAGAAACTATCTTAATAGTATCAGTAAGAAATATTGACTTAAATTTAAGTTTTTATTTAGGAAAGACTTTGTCCTTATACTGTATTTAATATAGGAACAAAGAAACTTCCACTGACTTTCATGCTTTCTTTTCATATATCTGCATTTCAAACTAAGAAAAATCATAAGTGTCTTCTTGGAAACTCCTTATTCTTCCCACTGTCAAAAGAACTATCTATACATGTGTGGATGACTGTGGCAGACTGATATGAGGGACTCCAAAGATCTGATTAAATTTTCTTCCCCTTTGGGCCTTTCATAAATTTGTCTGCTTTGGATCCTTCTACTTTAACAGCATTAATTAATGCCTTATCAAATTTTCTGGCTAACTTTTCATACAGGTTAGTATTTGGCAGCATGAAATTCAGAGTCTGAAAACATTTATAAAATCCATTTTCTGCTACCACCAGCTATTTTTATTCGGTAAGATGTTTCTGTGATCCTACTCTTTCATCTATAAAAATTCATATAATAAAATTAGAATAAGGAATTAATGTCAGTAAATTTACTTTTGTAAATTCTCAAGTACTATGCATACATAATTTGTTATTGTAGAGGAAATATTGCATAGTGTTAAAACATGTAAGACTTGAGATCAGAGAGCCTTTTTTTTTTTAAGATTTTATTTATTTATTT